AGTTGAGAGTCAATAGACATATTGAAAAAATATTATCCAGCATGAATGGACACAAAACTGATTTTAGTTTCTTCATTGCAGTACCAAATGGAAATACAAATATAGAAAGGATTATTTTAATTCTGCTCAAAATAAACATTTCCCCTTAACGTACAAAATACCAGATGCCCTGCAGAAGTATTCATATTCCTTTCATGTTTTTATTGGGATTTTAAGATGGACAACACTGCATGACTAATGAATATTGTTTTCCACAGGACATTTTGCTCTTGGTCACATAAGTACTAGTGATTGACCCTCTTCTTTAATGTCCAGGTCACCTCACCAATAGGATCTTATGATCTGTTGCCAAGCAACTGATAACATGACACATATCTGACACCACGAAATCAGAAATTGATAAAAATCACAACTTTTTGCATTATTTGATTTTTAAAGTATTTATGTTTGTCTGTAAACAAGACATAGTTTGTATGCACATAATGTAACGTCTGTACGTTACATTATAAGTAAAATATTAGCTTTACATTTTCAAATTCTTCTGCGTTTTCCTGTTTTCAAACAATTCTTCAACCTACTTTGGAGTACTGCGAAATGTTTGAGAGGATTCTGAGATATTTAGTGAATATGCTAAACATAAGTCAAACTGAATGACACTCAGTTAATTTCAAAATGCAGTAAAAGCTGTTTTAAAAGCAACAAACAGCGAAATGATGCTAAGAATAAAAGTGCTAGTTCTGTCTGAAAACTGCAAGTTTCCATTATGTCAGAATGATGGTCAGCAAACATTGGACTTATCTCTCGTTTTCTGATGTAATAAGACATTTATTACATCTCATGTTGCATGAAGAATTAATGCTACAGCAAGTAGCATTGGCACATGCTACTTTTCTGCAACAATAGAGGTTGGTCAGAGTTGATGGGAAGATGGATGAAACTGAATACAAATTTATACTGGAAGGAAACCCGTTTAAGCAGTCTGTTATTTCTATCCAGTATAATCCTCTGTCCTCCACTGGGCGACTTTTCATGAAGGCCTCAAAGGTGCAAGAACAATAACATAGTGTCCTTATTTACTTCACATAAACCATATTAAGAATGTGTGCACTCTTTTTTTAAACACTAGCTTTATGAAAAAATAAGACAGTCCACTTCTCTGAGTAGAGTCTGGATAACTGTGGTTGCTACAGTAGTTCAAGAAACTCCATGAATAAATGGCTTGTAGTTGCTATGGAACTAATGTCAAAAATATTTATTCTCAAAATTTGAGTTGCTTATTTTACCTGAGAAGAAAAATAAACTAAAAATAGTACATTTGTTATTTTTTGCTTTTAGTAGTACATTGCCAAATAATCATGCTCACAGAGATTCTCTCAAAGGTGCCAAAACTGTTCCATTGTTTCATCCACTCAAATTGTTAACTACTTCATCGTGGCAGATCACATGAAATTTGCATGAAATACATTAAAGGATTGGAGGTATAAAGAGACAAAATGTTCAAAAGTTTAAGGAATTTAAATATTTGCAAGGCACCGTAAACCTCCTAGAGAAATAAGTTTTTAAAAAGTCCTTCTGATGTTAAACATGCAAAGGTTAAAAAAAATAGTTAATTCAACTCACCAGTAAAGCTCCATGTACTCAGCAGAAATAATAGTTTCAAGAGAGTCATATTTGTTTTTTAGATTCAATATGGAGATGAAAAAATGTAGTGAAATGACTGGTGTTGCAGCCGAAGAGGAGGTGTTCAGCTTACAGGAAATCCTCGTCTCTTGTTTTCTCAGATAAGAGAGCTTCGCTTGAGTTGATATTACGGGGTGGTGCTGCTGAAAACTAAATCGGATTTTTCTATTTAAAAAAATACCTATAGATCTGCCTGTGCCCCTTGTTTTGAAATTGATTTATGATGCTTCATCTCCATCCACCTTCTGGACAGAGCTGATAATCTGAAGGATCAATCATTGCTCTGTTGTTACACTGGGGATGAGAATTATAATCACCAGTTCAGTCAAAGTTTTGAAATCAGGGAGCATTTCTCCAAGCTAAATGATCTGAAGTTGAACGAGGGATTCACTGGTCCTCTGATCAGCATCAGACGCACTCTGAAGCATCCTGTCTAACTTTCAATGCACTTTCTGCTCCTGCATAGAGGGGTGGATTTTGCTCGTATTAATTATAAATTTGCAAAATCTCTTTCAGGCAACATGTTGACATTGATGTAGTGATTGCAACTCCCAATTCTGTTTAGGACTTTATAGCCAATCGATAGGAGTAGAAAGCACTTGTACATGAAAGGAGAATCAGAAATGGGTTAAAATCTGCCCTTAAATGGCTTCTTGTAATTAAAAGAGTTAAATATTTCACTAAAGTGTGAGTAGCTAAAAATTTCAGCCGAAATAGCTGGACTTTCCCATTTATCTAAATATTGCTCTGTACACCAAGCGCTATCAAGCTAATCCTTTAGCCTTTACCAGCTAAAAAGGTAAATGCACCAACAAAAAGTTGTAATAGAAAATTAGACTTTAACTATTTGATCTAAATTTGGATTGATAGTGTTTTGTATATATTAATGTTTTTCTTTAGTGTGTGTCACTGTGTAAGTGTCAGAGTCTGCCAATTTCTGATAAAGAAGAACTAGAAGGTTCTGTTGAAATTCTAGTCAACTCATTTCCTGTCATACATGTCGGGTTGCGGGTTTCCAACTGACTTTTTGTTGGATCCCTCCAATGAGGTGGGGGCTGGTTGCATGACAGTGGACAAAGATGTGGCTCTGCTGTCCACCTGGTAATGGAGACAAGTTCAGACTTGGAGTGTGTTCTTTTTAGCTGTGACTATATAATCATGTGATCTGTGTTGTTCGGGGCTCTTCCACCGACTGTTCAGTGAGATGGGTCGTTGAACGCTTTTGCCTTTGAGTAAAAAGACAAAGATTAATCTTCCTCTAGTTATTGGAACAGACTCATTCTTTGATAACAGAAATTTCCACAACAATACCCAGCTTTGACAAATTGGCAATTTGATATTCTACACTAATTTGCATCTTGTGTGGATCAGCACAAATTCAAATTTAGGCAAAAAATACAATAAAAATCATTTTATTGTCACACAGATTTTAAATTCTGGTGGGACTGCACTTTTGGGGCATACAGGCTCACAATGTATTTAAAATATTAAAATTAAGACTGACATTAAGGACAATATACCTAAAACTTTCCTAATCCTGAACACTAACCCATATTCAAGGCCGATGCAACCAGTTCTTGCTTTAGAAGTCCATGTTGTAATTTTTGGGGTTATTGAGAATGTAAAGTGTATTTTCAGATCTGATTTTGATGTCAAATGAGCTCAAGGAAACAAACCAGTGCAGTGGTAACGTCAGGAAAACAGGAAGTAAACACAGACCTAGAGTGTCATGATGGGTCCTAGTCTCTTTACCCACAGACAGAACACAACCAGGAAAATAGATAAAGTTTACTTTAACATTGATAAAAAGTGAGATTGTGTGGTTCTTGTCCTTGTGGATGGCAACCGGGGTTGTCTGTACTCTAAAGAGCAGTGAGAGATGGTGAGTTTGAGGTTTATCGGACAATGGAGCTTCAGGGAAAAATGGACTGATCTTACTTGAAATGATGATGAGCTTCCGCCAGGGGAAAAGTACGGTGGTTTCCGGGGTTATGGTCTCTTTGAAGGGGGTCCTTGAGGTGATCCAGGTTCAGACAGAGAGAGTTCTCAGGTAAGTTCAGGTGAGGAGGAACGAGGAGCGATCCGACTGCCAGCTGAGAATCCAAGAATTGTTTATGATTCAACTCTAGAGGCGAAGAAGGAACTCGGGCAACCAGTGGGTAACAATCCACGGCGTCATGAGGGGGGAAATCCAGTAATTCGGTCTTCACAGGAGTTAAATCCAAGGCATCTTAAGGAAACACCTGAGGGAGAGGCAACAGGAATACATCACTAGAAGTAATCTCAGAAAAACCATGGAGCACAAGCTCAGAGGGGCGGAGAATACCAAAACTGGCAAACACTCAGTCGTGGAGGTGCTGGCAGCCCACTCCTCATATACTCCTGGATGATTAGGTGATCACAGGTGCGCTGACATCAGTCAGCGGGAACACCCTCCAAGGTGTGCAGCCTCTATCACCAACTAGTGGATGAAAAGGGAAGCAGCAGGCAAATAGAAAATCCCCACAAAGAGCCAAATCCTTGTTCCCAACCTAGATATACTAGCTGGGCTCTATAAAGACAAACAGTAGCTGAAGATGCAGATCAGATCACAGCATAAATATTAAGATACATAAAGTGTGAAACACAAACCTCTTTAAACCAAGAAATTAACCAAATGTATGATTCCAATATCAGTTTCTGACATTATCAGGACATTTTGTTGCTCAATACAGACACAGACACACCTCATGTTGCAAATAAAACATTTATTAAATGAGGCACTTAAAGTTACATCGACAGTTTGAGCAGAGAGCTTCCAGGATTAATTTATTGAACACATTCTGATGCAGAAACCAGGACAACGTTCAGCCTGAAACATTTTCAGCAGTCGTTTGTCGTTGACGGAAAGGCAGGCAGTCTTGTGATTTTATCAAGTGGACGTAAAACGAGTGTCGCAAAAGTTGACTTTACTGGGATGTTTTTAAACCAGCACACTGCTTATTATTAGTATTATTATTATTAAGATATTTGGCTTTTTGTTGTTTAGCTGTTTATTTATTTGCTTACTTTTGGTTTTCCCCCAGCAGACATTTCATATTTTCATCCCCAACTTCTTCAGGCACAAAATGGAGTTGTTTCTCATGAGATGTTTCTGGATTCACCCTTTAACAACTCCTTTCAAAGTAATTTTCTACAATCTATTTGTAGTCCACCAAATGTGTAATTTTATGACTGCAATAAATAATGTCTACAAGAGGGATGCCACTAGTTTTAGTTTAATGCGACGTGATATTTTCATATATTTCTTTACAGTCAATTGGTCCATAGGGAACTTAAACCAAAAGTAACTAAAGATTATTTGGTGTAGAACAAAGGGTTTAATGAAAATGACATTTCTAAAACGATACATACATTTCTTTTTTTACTTATGAATGGTGAATGAAAAATTTAATCAAGTGAGAACATGGCAACGTGTAGTTATGATTATGGGAATATTGGCCCAAAGCCTTTCTGAAAGGAAATGTTTTCCAACTAATTTCACGATTTTTGGGAAATTTTTGTTCCCTTACAATATCCTGGATGTAAAAAACTAAACATTAATATGGCCTCTTTGACAAAGTACCATATTATTTTAAGGTTAATGGTGCTTTAAGGTTTGTTCAAAGTGTTTCATTTTCATTCTGACATGAACATTGAAACAAAATGTCAGCAGTAGAAAGACAGACATTACAGTAGGTACTTCACAGAGTTAAAATGTTAAACAGCCAATGAACCGTTTATACCAAATGGAAGCACAAAGGAGAAATATATTTACACGAGCTGTACATACGTTTTAAAACAGATCCCAAAAAGCTTCATAAAAAAAAAAAATTAAAAAAAAACCATTATCTCATCCCCACAGAACATCAGCTGGTGAAAATACACATTTTAATCATTTAACACAACAATGAGGTTAGTTTTGTTATTGCTTGTTTGGGAGGAAAAACTTTCATTTCCAGTTAAAGTGCTTTCTTTTAGTAAAATGACTAAACTCATTTAACCCATGACAGTCATCGAGGACGAACATGTTATGGTTAATGCTGTTAAGAGTGTAATAAAATATGATACAGTCCCTTAAAATGACACATAGACGTCATACTTACTGACACAAGTCGTTCCAGGTAGTCCTTGAAAGGTCCAGTGTGCTGCAATAAGTGCAAAACAGTGAATTATGGGAAAATAAGAGCTGAACATTTAGATGGCGCATGCCCCCTTCCTTGTCCCGTGCTATGTCCCATGATGCTACATGCAAGCTAGCGTGTAGCATGTAGCATGCGACATAGCATGTAGCATCATGCGTTTGTGCATAACGGAGCCTTTAAACACAGTACTGCGATTCAGTAATACACACAACAAACTCAAAGAGTTTTCTTGGTACTGTTCGTCCCTTTCTCTTGTGTAGAAATACTTCATCTCCGAGAGAAGAATGGACAAACACCACATTTTAACAGAGCGGCCTCGTACATTACATCACATATTATTTAAATTGTGTTTATAAAACACATTTAAATCCTGCTGTAAGCTTGTACTAGTCAGGCGTCCTCCGTCTAAGGCTTGTTTATTGTTTACAGGCTTGTCGTTCTGAGGAAATGCTGTGGTGCTCAGGTGCTTCCTGCCTTGTGGTCCACATGTTGGTGTGTAGAAGGTGAATACTGGCTGTGTGTGGGGGAGGGTGCAATGTCGTATAGCAGCATACAATTCCTCTCCTTCTCCTCATCTCTCTGCCATTTCCTCCCACAGCTTCCTGTTTTGCGCTTCATACGTTGCTGATGCGAACGCTCAGTGGGCTGCTGTCTCTTACGCGCCCCCGCTCCCGCTTCTTTTCTTTCCCCTTGTAGTTCTCCTCCAGTATGAGCCTCTCCCGGCTCACGTCGTCTTCTCTGGCGCCGTTTTGGCGCGTCTCCGTTCTGTCGTTCGGTGACGACGGCTGCTTGCGGAAGGGAGACGTCTTGGTTTTTGCCACTTTGTCGAAGAAGGCAAAGTCGGCCACGTATTTCCCCGACGGGGAGAGGGAGACGACGGGCGGGAACTCGTAGCCCCAGAGGATCTCGTCCGGAAGGTACGACGTTCGGACCTGGCAGGTGGCGGACGTGGGTTCGACCGTGGCGCTCATGATCACCAGCAGTTCAAAGTCGGCCAGTTCAGGGTCTGCCCAGCCTCCGCCTGGTGGACGAAAAAATACATAAAACACAAAAACATGACTCACAAGTGCTCTTAAATAGATTGTATAAATGAAATTATAAAGTTTAAGTAATTCAATTTAAAGACTTATACAACACACGCAGTGGCTATGGCTACAGCTAATGACAACGCAGAAATATTATGTTGTAGCTGTGTTGTGAGCTACGTAACCCAATCTGCTGACTTCACCTTTGACCAGTGTCCACATAAAGCAACATAAAGTCGTTGCTAAAGGATTGGTTGTTCACAAAGTGCTGCATCTAAGCATACTGGTGAAAAGTTCAGTGGAAGAAAAAAATGCAGTCGAAAAAAAGAAATGCACAAGCAACAAAGACAACCAAATATAAGGCCTTCCAACCATTTAGTTATAGCCAAGAATACATATTTTTTTATTCTTCTGAAGAAAACTGTGAAGCATATATCTTAGTTGCATAAAACTTTTTCAATTTTTTTCTATTTCTTCTCCCCTCTTTTCCCAGCATCCTTTTCTTCCTGACTCTCCATCCTGTCGAAAGCCAACTGTGCCACGTTAAATCACTACAAAAGCCCCAAAATTATTATTTATGCATGTGGAATTTTTCCCAAAAATGCGGAAACTATTGTTTTTTTCTTTTAATTTTAAGTTTTCATAATTATTTCTACTTCGTGGTCTTGCCGCTGGATAGTCTTAATGTGCTGCATCTCTCTACCTTGCAAAGCTAAATCACACAACAAGGCAATAAATGTCACAAGATAATTAGGATGCAGGTAAGTTTCTGTTCAAGGTAACCAATCAGACATTAGCATTTAATTGGTGATTTACAGCAGAAATTTAAATTATTCTTAAGCAGCAATTTCAGTTATGCCATTAGCCTGCATACAGGAAGCAAAACACTGATTTAAAAAAATGCATGACTTGATTTGAACTTTGATTACATTTCATAATTGAATTATCTAACTGAAACCTATATATTTATTTGATATATATGTTTTCAGTGTGAAGTTCATCGTTAGCATTATGAAGTAGCAATATAATGCTCTAAGAAGGGAAGCTAAAATATTCAAATCATGGAAAGAAATAAATAGAAGAAGAAAGAAGAAAACAAAATTCAGAAACAATCATGTCTTTAAATAATAATAACACTTATTTTTTAATATTATGTGCAGGAAGTCATGGGTGGGACCCGATTTAAATTCATCTAGTCTCAACCAGAGGAGGTTGTGAGCTGACCTGGGTCAACATGACACACTCCTTTTCTCTAAATCACCAAACCATGAAGCTTCTCTTTAACCGCCTGACGGGGAGGAAAGTGCTTTCCCGCTCCCGTTATGACACTTTTCCAACGAAAAATAAAATTGTAATTTGTCACATGTGTGGAGTTTTTGACTACCATTTGGTGACTATTTATTCAAAATACGCAGAATGTGGAAACTTTGAGTGGCGTTACCCCCCTCAACATCCCCAGAGGACAGATCAGCAGACGTACGCAGTCAGGCAGGCGAACACCTGCATCCCCGGGGTTTCTCAGACTGCAGACTCCCTCATCTGTGAAAACAAGGCTTACTCCCAACACAGACCAAATATCACTCCCGCCAGTGCAAAACACCGTGTTTCGCAACCCCTCTGTCACCACTGTGACACATTTATCAAGGGATTCTCTGCCTTTTTTGTGAGCTGCTTCCATTCATTTACAGATCTTACAAACATACCAGGTTAGAGTCCACGTCCTGCTGGCCGTCACTGTGTGTTAATGGGAAATACCCTCTGCGATTTTCAGACCATTTACCAGAATATTAAAACTGAAAACTCGGCTTTGAAAAGACACAGAGTTGAAATCAAATCTGTTCGTCACCAGGTAGAAACAGGAGCAATTTGTGAATGTGCAGAATCCATGATCCACTGTAACATCATCTGCAGGTGTAATGTATGTAATATTAGCCAACAAATGGCTAAAAGTTTAATACTCTATTTTTATGCGCATGGCTTGAAGAACAGTGCATTTTGTCCTTTTATATGTGGGTTTTGGCTTACAATTTACCCTGTAAGGTAAAAGTCTCACATAAACAGAGACTGTACTGGCTGCTGCAGTTTCCTGACTAAATGTGAGAGTTAGGAAGCAGCAAATGAACTAAGACGAAAGACTAAGTTTTGTCTTTACTTGATCAAATGGACAGATAAATTATCAGTGAGTCATATCAAAACAGAGTGTACACACGCTAACGTCCACCTGGCACTTCAGCAAACTCAGCATAAAATCATTATCAGCAAGAGTGAGATACTTCAACACCGAAGACAGTAACAAGCTGCTTCCATCCAAATGTCTTGCAGGTTTTGAGCGAACTTTTAAAATGTTGCAAAAGAAAGAAAATGCAGATTTTCATCTACTGGTTTGTTGCGAATCAATCAAAGTCTAATATTCTCAGATATTGACTCTGCAAACGGCAGCAATAAGATGAAGAGGCTGCAAACCAGCAAAAACCAAACAACTCAGAAAAATAAAAAGCTCACTGGAGCTGGAGATTTGGACGTTGAAAGTTTTTCGAGTTTCATGCCTCTGGTAAGGCACAGACCCGCCAGAGCTGATTTGACAAATCACCTCAAGCGCACTTAAACCCACTTTTGCAAAACTGAGGAAGTTATTTAGATAACTTTCTAAAGCGTTAACTACAAATAGTAGGTAAAGGAGGTAAATATGAGGAAACAAATGCTTCTGGATAATCTACAGAGAATCCAAGTCTGCCTAGCGGGCGGAAAAGCACCAAATATGCTCAGTGGGTTCTCTTGCAGCTTCCAGTGCCGAGAGCTCCGAGCTGCTGTAAGTGGATCTGCATGTCAGCGCCCCAGACTGTACAGTATTGTGCTCTAATGAGGGGTGTCTCGAGCGGGCTCTCTCACACACATTCCAGCCAGAAAGAGGAAAAAAAAAAGAAAAAAAAAAAACTCTCCTCCAGTGCCAAACAAACCCAACTGTGGACGGCTCGACACGGCCAAGAGCGCAGCACGTGACAGCGAATACCAGCACACCTACGTACGCATACATGCGCATTGTACCTACACGTTTTGTCAATTACCATAACTCGACGGTAAATGTAAAATTCCAATCACTTCACTCGCCGCGGACACGTGGGAGACGGTTAAGAAGCGATAATGAGACGCTTGTTCTCGTGCGGACTCGTAATAACTTTCAGAAAGCTTCCATGTTGCAGCTCAACACGTTTGGCGCGACTCGTTCAGAGCTACCGACACGACGACGTCATGAGAGCTGTGACGTACCCTTTGCTGCCCAGGCTCTGAGGGGGCTGTTCTCGTCGATGATGTGGTAGAACGTCAGGGGTATGATGAGGAAGGGGCTGTCGCTGGACGTGTCCACCTGGAAGGGCACGTTGCGCTGGTCCAGCCGCACCGTTTCACCCTCCTTGGTCAGAGACGTTTGGAGCAGCTTCCCCGTCACCTGGGAGCCAAGATGTAGTCAGTAACTGCAGCCAAAGAAGCTGGAAAGACATCTTGTCACCAGACGGCTCCCGGTTTAATATTTACATTGGCCCTCAACAAGTAACGGCCCTCGAGGAAACCATTAACAATGTGCTCGATTAGTAGTCGCTACACTGGCTCCCTGTAGCTCACAGAATACACTTTAAAAAGACCTCTCTGGTTCTGGTTCTGGTTCTGCTCTGCATCCCCAGAACCAGAACCAAACATGGAGAAGCAGCATTCACCTTCTGTGCACCACAAATCTGGAGCAAACTTCCTGAAACCTGCAAAACAGCTGAAACACTGAGTTCCTTTACATGTAGACTAAAAACCCAGAGTAACTTTTGAAACCTAATCATGAAACATTAATCAATAATCTGATGTGCAAAATGTAATGTTGTTGAATGTGTGTTCTATGACTTTGTATTTTTGTGTTTTTGTGAGGTAAAACACTTTGAAACGCCTTGTTGCTGAAAGGTGCTATGGAAATAAACTTTGATTGATTGATTGATTGATTGATTGATTGATTGATTGATTGATTGATTGATTGATTGATTCATCTCTGTTTCCAACAAGCAAACAGTCGAGACATATAGAAAGAAACTTTGCGGTTTTTGCTTCAACATGTAAATCTTTTCAAACTATTGTACACATGGAGTCGTCATAATCAACCAGAGGAAACCAGAATGTGCCTAAATGCTGCATAGCACATCTCCAAAAAAAAAAAAAACACACTTCCACCCAATCATTTGCACTTTCAGTTCCTCATCCAACTATGAACAGCTTCTTGATCTAAGTCGGTCTTAAACGGGCCTCTTGGGATTTGAAAGTGATTTTCATTTCGGGCCTGGCTGTGGCAGAATGCACTGATAAAACTACCCGTCAACAAACTGCTGAAATCTTTTAGTTTTCTCTAAGTTTGATTAGTACTTCTTAAAACGTAGCAACGTTTAAGATCTTCTCACATTGGTGTAATGAACTGAATTGATTTTGACTGATTGAATAATATTTAAGCATACAACTAACAGATTGTATGCTTGTATAAAACCCTCGTCATGTTAAATTAAATTAAGGTAGTTAAATTAAGACTGAGACCGTCTGAGTGTTTGACTGCAAAATGTTAGATTGTGGCAAAAGTGGGAAACCTAATTCTAAATCTAACCACTGGAGGTTTGTGCATGCCTTAAAACATTTAGGAAACTGAATTTTCATCACAGATAATAAGGAGGGCGCTTTGTTTTCAATGAAGCCAAGGAGACAACAACATCCTACTATCATCATCCCACAACATGACTAATCTCATGCCGTGACGCGAGTCTGATATGAGGGGGCTAATAAAGGGCTTTTAGGGGGATCCCAAAACGCCAACACACATTCACACTCTTCCCGGCTGCGAATCTGTTCACCTCGTCTTCTATTTTTAAAATGTTTTTGTTTTGTTCTATTTTATTTTGCTTCATTTCGAGGGCGGCGCGCGCGGGGGCGGGGAGTTTTACGTTCTAAATCAAGCCTAACATGCATCCGTTAGAGTTTGAAAGCTCTAACATTGTTTTAGTACCATTATTTGAATTTACATGAACTATAATCCACTATATCAACTTCTTAAATCGTTGCACATTTACTGCAAACAGGATGTCCCTCATGACTAAAGCCTAACTGGCAAAGAAAACAGTACAAAGAGTAATTTGCACTAGTGAAAATTTGAGAAGTTTGATCAAAATTCATCCAAAACAGAGAAACAGTTCAATAGATGTTCCCAGAATCGTATCTGGAAGCGGCTCAAGAATCAGCACTAGTGTTTGACGCAGCGTAAAAACATCTGCACAGGCTGGCGTGTGATGTCAGCTTAATGCAAGCAAATATTTTTCAAAGTGACATATTACCTGACATCCCAGCAGCAGGCTTTTGCGCATGTTGGCCACTCGGATCATCAGGCAGGGCCGGCCCTCGTGAAACGACACAACGGCGTGTTGACTGAACTTCACCGTCTCGCCTCTCTTCTTGGGACGAGCAACCTGACGGAGAAAGAGAGGAAATCTGAGATTAGGATGGATCCCCGTTACTAAAATGTTGCATCGAAAATACTGTACGTCAGCCATTAAAAGCGTAACCTTTAAATTCTGAGGACATGAGAGAGTAAAAGTAAATTGTTTCAAATACAATCAACAGCGGAAACACTTTTTTTTTTTCTTTTCAGATTGGACTGATAATAATCCACAACCAAAAATTACTAATAAATGACACTGATAACTTTTCATGATGACGGTTCGTTATTCTGCTTCTAGTAGATCAGAGTGATAACAGCAACCCACATGCAAGTTTTCTGCATAAGCAACTCAAACACAAAGATAAGGAATAGGAAAGACTTGTGCAGCACATGAACAACAGCTAAAAATAAATATACATGGCGTTTGCTAAAATTGTACACATATTACGTGACATTTACAACTTAACTAAGAAGCAAACATGTTAGAAATAAACTTTGATAAAGCTCCCTTTGATTTTATTTCACCTTTCTGTTTTTTAGAAGAACTCTGTCGTCATCCAACACACAGCCCACTTTAGGTGACCTCACAGATTTTCTGACACTTATTTCTGGGTTTTGACTAGGACATTGTAGCCGTAATCCTGCTATCACCATCTTTCACTGTCGTCACAATGAAATATAGTCAAGAAACTGCTTAATATCGCTAAACAATTAATTGGCTATACCAGCATTTTTCCTGTTACATTTATTATTATATTCAAAAATGGAAAAAAAAAAAATGGGGAAAAACAGTTACTTTTGCAAGAAAGGTCCCAGTGATGAAAATCTCCATCACCATGGTGATGACCAGCTGAACAATGAGGAGGACTATAGCTACGGGACACTCCTCTGTTATGCACCGGAAGCCATAGCCAATCGTGGTCTGCGATTCCAGGGAGAAGAGGAAGGCTCCGGTCAACGTCTTCACCTCCATCACACACGGCGTGTGATTGGACGGCGGGTCGAACTCTGAAGGCGGGAAACAAGGAGCACAAGATCAATCTGGAGCGTGCCAAGTACCACAGAAGAGTTTACTGCCTTTGTCTGTATCGTACAAAACAATTTTAAGTGTCAGGCATGGCTGCGTGAGTGTCGTGATGCGTACCGAGCAGGTCTCCGTGCACAAGGGCCACCAGGTACCAAAGCACCCCAAACAGGAACCACGTCCCAGCGAAAGTAGCAGAGAAAAAAAAGAACTTGTAGCGCCACTGCATGTCCAGGAACGTCGTCCAGAGGTCACGGAGGTACAGGGCCCCTCTGCCGCTGACGTGCTCGATGCGGACGTTGCTCCGTCCATCTTTGGAGAGGACTCTGCGTCTCCTGCGCAGCGCGTTTGGCCCTCCCGTTTCCCCCCCGCCGGCGGCAGGGGCCCCGCTTCCCCCCGTGGAGCTCAACAGGGGCTTGCTGATGTCCGTCTGCGTCTGGGAATGGCACACTTTCTGCGGGGAGGAGCCTTCGGAGGACGGGGGAGTGGCTGAAGTCATGGCTGGCACTGGACAGACAGAGGGGACACGACTTGTTCAGGAAGGGGGGAAAAAATGTGGAAAATGGGCTTAAAGTGACCAGCGAAGGAGGATGGTGTGGAAAAACTGCAGAGGTATGCTGAGAACAATAAAGTTGAACGACAGAAGAGTTCAAGTAAAAAGGTTCAAGGAAAAAATAGTACTGTTCATATGAATGGGGAGATGACCTAGTGGAACATCTAACTTGAAAAATAGAACAGAAGAAAAGGATCAGATGTACATTTCAGGGTGACAGTGTTGTGGTCCGCCATTCAAAGCTCTTCTTTTCTCTTCCTGCCTTTTCAAAAGAAGTGCCAGGTTCTCCATCTGTGAAAAATCGAGCTAATCTACTCGGTTTGCACAAAAATAGCTAAATCAACTAGAGGAGATCCTGTTACTGTTAAAATCAATGTCACACTTTCCCATCTGTACACTGGTATTTTGGGATTCAAACAAATTCCTAGGACAATCTACTAAAATTAAAGTTCAAAATATACCTGAAACTAACTGCCTGATTGGTCGGTCGGTCGGTCGGTTGGTTGGTTGATTGGTTGGTTGGTTGGTTGGTTGGTTGGTTGATGTATGTCACAGTGAGTAAAGTTAGGACTAAACTTAAATCGTTCTTTTCAGGGTGTGTTCAATTTTTATTGCTAAAGATGTCATAATATGTTTCCAAGTTTTGACCTGTTTACTGGTCAAGGCCTTTATAAATTATACACATGACGAACTCCTAATAAATGTTGTTTGTGTACAGTTCGTGAACAGGAGACTTGCAGCCATAATTTGCCGACTTGATTTCTGAATTTTATGCTTTGTTGAGTTCAACTAGCAAACTTTATCATCAACTTTGCACATTCTTTCTTGGTCTAACGGGTTTAGGTTTCCTGAATAGAGTTATTTACAATTTACAATAAATTGAGACTGAATCAACTATTGGACATTTCCTGTAGAAATAAAGGCAGGCTAGTTATTTAGTTTTTTGTAGGTCATGTCTTCAAACGATTAATTCAAACTTCACTGAAATCTGTTCTGTAAATTATCTGTTCTGCATATTATCAATGACCAGAAGAGCGCTAACATGCTAGCTTTGGACCTAGCATTCAGCAAACGTTTCCACATGAAGACTTCATCAGCAGAATGAGATCTCATTACCCAACATTATTCATTACTAAGCTCCACTAACGCTCATAGTGGAATCTTGCAGCTACTTTTTCCTTTTAATCTGTCATTTTCGTCCAAGTTGATGTTGTCATCACTGCGCTGGAGTCGCCTGTTCTGCCCTGAAATATGAGTCTCTCGTCTGGCTGACCTAAAACTACGCCATCGTCACTTGTACGCTGAAAATGATGACACGCCGCGATGACACCCCGAAGCCCTGGTATAAGTGGATTGCAAAGTATCAATAGTTTATTAAGCGAGTGAGAGATCCCTCACCCCTGGGTGCCACGAGCGCTTATCGCCGCTTGACTTTCCCTTTGTAAGCTTTTAACAATCTTACTTCTCATCTGGACTACAGTTTGTCTTTCTCCACATCATCCTTTTTTGTTCCTTTCCTTTCTGCCCATTCTTTGCTCATTGTTTGGCCAAGCTACACCCCTCCCCCCTTCCAGAGAAATTGTCTTTGCTTTCTGGAGCAAATAAAACAAAACCCAAAACAGCACGGCCAAAACAAAAGCCTAAAAACCAGAGCGATCTGATACACTCTGTCCTTTCCTGTCCTGTTTGACCCTTGTCTCGCCTCCCTCTGTGTTGGAGCTCACACAGAGTGAATGAATAGAGAGCTGTGTTGAGCTCTGTGCTATGAATACTAAGACGCGAAGGGGGGGGAGGAAGAGAGCGAGAGGGCGGGCGGGAGGCGTGGTCAGGAGCACGGGCATGTGATTGGACTTGGGCCACGCCAGCTGAACTCTGAACCCGACAATGCTCCTGCCTACACATACAGTAAACATATGAACATGTAGACCGTCTGAGCAGCTATAACTTGTACAACACCATTTAGTGTCCAAAGGGTTGCTTACTTTGCAGACATAAAACCTCTAACCTTACATTACAATTCCAAAAGATATATACAATACGTCCTAAAGAATTCACTTTTAAAAGTATTAACATTCAGAGTTAAAAATCAACAATAGGATGCTCTTTGCATATCCGATAGCGTCACATCATCTGGGACAGCTTTTAAGAAGCGTGTTCATTGACCTTCATTCTTCATTAGTGAGGTCAGACACTGATGTTGGGAGAAGACCTTTCCAATAGTGCCCATTGTTATTGAGGTGGAAGTCAGGACTGTCACTTCCTTCCCCACTAGATTTGCTTGTCCATTTCTTTATTGACCGTGGAGATGTTAAAATTGTTCAAAATGTGTTTGCATGTTGACTCATTAAGAGTTAATTTTTTTATTTTTTACTGAAAATAATTCACTGCGACAAGTAATCCATGATCATAATGGCAGGCCACCACTGTTTTGTCACTTCAGAGAACATGTCTCTGCTGCTCTAGACTATAGTCGCAGTGTCCTGTTGAACTAATGTAAAATAAATTAAGTTTGGAGGTTGGTGTGAATCCACAATAAAACTCTGATATGGACCGAAATGAACTCTGAACTGTCCAGAAACACAGGTCTCGGTTTGGTTCAAGTGAACTCTGATGCAGCTTGAATGCGTATGTGAATGGCAAGCAGACCGAAACAGGAAACACACTCGGGGCATTCTGGGTAAATACAACCTAAACAAATGCTAGTGGGAGAAATGTCTCATAGTCTTTTACCAAATGCAAAAGAGAAATCTAAAATGTGACGCTAATCCACTTTTGCTTACATTTTGCAAAGAGGGAAGCTGTGCTCAGTTTCTTCTTCGGGGGTTTTTGAGTCGATTCCTTCAGTAGTTCTTGGTGCAGCGCCACCACAGTTGAGGAGGTGAACAGGATATTGGGACTTTGGCCCCCAATCGAAACGAGTCTGCCGGACTATCAGGTGTGAAAACACTTTTAGTTTAGCTGCCTATTCATAGTCTACCTCAGGTTCATTTTTTGTGGCATTTTTCTGTCTTCATCTTACTGTCATTTGCTCCCTGGTTTATTCAGGACTTTTCCCCAGTGCATTAGTTTCATATGCTGCCATCATTTGTTTCATATTTGTTCATTTCCTCTACTGTGTGAAACCTCCCCAATTTAAATACTCCTTGATTCTGTCACTCCATTGTCAGATCCTCTGTTGCCCTCTCCACAGGGAGGGCAATTAGTTCGATTTCATTTTAAATTAAATTAATTATTACAACTTTATCCCTGCCTGGTGTGACCTTCAGCTTTCCTAATGCTCGCTCACAAAAGCTTGAGGACAATTCAATTCTGTTGGCAGCTGGGATTCGTAGATGTTTTATATTTTCATTTATAAAAACAAAATATTAAAAATTGCCATGTTCTCCACCTCACAGGTATGTAATATTTTTATTGACCTATAGCGTAAAATGCATTGAATAATGAAACTTATGTGCATTCTGTTTATGCATCCCACAGACGCAGCGACACACTCTGTCTCACCACTGACTCTGAGCCCTTGGTGTCACATTTCGTGGCCCTGAGCTTCCCTGTGGTTTATTTTTCAACATGTAAAGTGATGACCCATATTGCCTCTTAATAACTGGATCACCCAACCAAGCAATTGTTTGGTTCCTGTTGGATAAAAGGAAACGGAAAGCAATTCAATAGCCCTCCGGACCTTGATGTTGGTGTTCCTGGGGGTAATAAATATTAACCATTTAAATTATTTGTACTTAGATCCAGCAACAATATTAACTATTTTTTTTAAAAAAGGATTTTGATTATAATTTCATTGTAGGTTTTGGTTTCTTCAACTGTTATCCTCTTCCATCATGTGCAGCGTAACCCTCAACCTACCAATTCAAAACAAAATATTTGTATATTTTAAGTTATGAACTTTAACCAATAATCTAAGTTTAAATCCAGGCTCAACTATAACTGAGCTTCTGCATCATTAGCACGTCACTATCAATGAAAAGTGGATTTTTTTTTTGCTGTTTTATTCAGGAAAATGTTCACATTTTACATGATTTTTCTGTTCATGAAGTCAATTTTAACAACCAATGGGAATTTATTGAATGCATTAAAGCTGCTATAGTGACATAATTTCAGCGATAAAAAGGTTTAATTATGATGTACGTAGATAATACGTTTGCAAACTGCAAACTGACTTGTGGACTAAGGAGAGCGCAGAACACTTACTGTAGATATTAATTTGCTCCAAACTGCTTTGTTGTTTTGTGCTGGTATATTTTCAATGAATGTCACTTTTTACTTATTTGTTCATCTTTGTTTAAACTGAAAAGCGTAATGGAAATGGAAATGTAGTGGCGTGACGTGAACTTCCATCGTAGTTCTGGGGACTTTGGGCTTCATCTCTGTTTGCTGCATTTTAATAATTTCATCTTCTTCAGCTCTCATCTCATGCATCTCCTCTTCCCTCTCCTGTAATTAGTTCCAGCTGTTCCTAATCCCCTTGATTACCTGCATATTTCATGTTCTCACCTGTATCTTTGTCCCATGCTGATTTCTTACATCTATCCCTCGTTCTGCCCATCTATAACTAAACATCTTTGTTCTCAGATCGACTTCCTGTGGAGGTTTATGCCACTTTGCTGCACTGAAATGTTCAAACGCTGACATGACTTGTGCATATTTTACAAGTGATCATTAAAAAAAGATAAGGCAAGTCAGAGTTAAATCATAATTATTTGATTCCCCGTTTAAAAGCAGCTAAACTTGGAGGAAAGTATATGAATTTGTGAGAGTATTTGATTATGTGCTCTGACGTCCATTATTATGGAATGATGAAGCAGGACTGTTTTCACTTTTTCAAAAAAAAAAAAAAGGATTTACTGATAAATATTGAAGTATGCAACACCGATAAATGTAACATCCTTAACACTGACTCTTGTCTTTTCATTAGCTTTTCTGGATAAGGATGTAGATTATAGAACAAGTTAGCACATATTGTTAAATTTATATCTTAGAGAAATGAACTTAATGTAGGTTTATGCATCTCTTAGTTTTTAAAGGGAGAGGATTAATAAATCTAGGGGGCAAAATCACAGCAGCCCTCTTTAGTTTGATTCAATCGCAACTGAACTCTGATGCGGTCCAAAAAAAAAAATCAAATCAAACTCTAGGTCTCAGTTCGGTTGAAATGCGTACGTGAACACCGAGTGGACCGGAGACACATACGAGAGCAGGAAGTAGACGATACCGCAGGGCATTCTGGGTAAATACAACCAAAACAAATGCAGGAGTCTTACTGCGAAAGAGAAAAATGGTTTGAGGTCTTTCGCCGAGGACAAAAGAGAAATCCTACAACTTCTGAAATCTGATGCAACTCCACCATTTATTTATTTATTTATTTATTTATTTATTTATTTAACTTTTGTCTGAAAAAGGAAGTTGTGCCGATGTCTTCTTCTGAGGTTTTCTTGTCGCTTCCTTCAGTGGTTTTTGGTGCAGCGCCACCGTAGGCGAGAGAGCAAACAGGTTTTCATCTTTTTACACAGAGCAGCGTGAGAGGGGACCGCACGTATCAAATGTTACAACTTTGCTCCCCAACCGAACCGAGTCTACCGCGCCACCAAGCATGAAAACACCACTAAAAGGTCAGTGAAAATGAAAAAAAAAAAAAAAAAAAGCTAAACTATGTGCTTTTTGGGGGATTTCTGCAGCCAAAGTAAAAACCTTTACACTTTTTCTGATGCTGTGACTTTGATGAATTTCCACAATCGCTCTAAACTTCTTTTTTTTTTTCACCCCCCAGAGAATGACAACAGTCAAGGTTGTGATCTCTTCCGCCCCGTCCGGCCCATGCAGCCCTCGTCTTCCCTCTGTCCCGTGTGCACAAGAATCCTTTGTTTTCGACGAGATGAAAGGGACAAAAGCCACTATTGAAGAATACGACTGGCTGGGCGAGTAAGTGAAAGAGAGCAAGTTAGACGGGGGGTCAAAGAGGACCAGAACCGAGCGCAGGGGTGTTTGCTGGTGTATCTGATTCTGTGTGAGCATGCAGTGCTTTACACGCACAGACAGAAGAATTAGTTCAGAAGGAAGATTTGAGAGAGAGAGAGAGAGAGAGAAACGCAGCGTCAGGTGACAAAACAGGAGGGAATAAAAAGAGCGGGAAAAGATGGTGAAGGAAAAACAGAAAAAAAAGGGGGGGGGGTATGTGGAGTGACGGTGGGGGTGACAAAAAGCTTGACATTAGTATTCCAGAGGAGAAAGTAAATCCATTCCACTCTGTCCAGCGTCCGCACCCCTGCAGCCAGTGCACAGCTCTGAAAGGAACTCCAGCTGAATGGCTTGGACAACTGTCCCGCGCCACAGCAGCCTCTGTGGCCGGCCTGAATGGACGGCCCCAAACATTAAGGCACACCGTGCCAAGACGGCATCTGGTGGGCCAACTCAAGACAGCGGAGAGACAAAACTTCATTCAGCCGCCGCCGAGGCGCAGCAAAATGAGCTGCCGTCGAGTCAGCAGCGCTTTATTTTCGAGAAAACGATTAAAGGCAATCTGATTAGGACAGAACGTCTCCTTCTGCACGTCAAAGCGCTCTGTGGCTGAAACGCAGATCTGCAGATGCAGCAAGTTTCTGCACAGATAAATGTCACGCGGCTCCTGTGAGCTGATGTGCTTGCAGATGTATTTTCACCACTGCGATTACTTGAGATTTACCACGAACTTCAGTGTATTTTATCAGGATTTTGTGCGATAGATGAACACAAATGACTTCATGTAATCGCAAAGGAGCAAAACCACGACTTGGATTTCAACAAGCTTCACAAATTCATCTCTGAGAAGTGCGGTGCGTGGTTTGCTAGAGAACACTAATGAACCGTCGGCATCGTTCAGCTCACTTCGATTCAAGTTGCATCCAAAGACACTTTCACTGACCCCTCAAAGTGAAACTGAATGTCGTCGTAACTCGTTTGATTGAAGAGTTATTGCAGACGGTGATGGATGTGTGGGCAGGAGAGACCTCCTGTAGCAGTCTTCTTCGCAACGACTTTGAACAAGCCTCTGACTGAAGACACTCAACGGCAGTGTCGTGAAGAGGATGCTCAGGGAGGGAGGTGTGGAGAAGTTTGAAATGTCATGCAAAATGTCATGCAGATGTTTTTCTATAACGATGACGGCCGGTCAGAGTTGGATGACGCTAAACTCAGGGTGAGCCTCGCCTTCCAGCTGGGCAGTAACTCTGAACACACAGCCAGAGCTGTAAAGGAATCAGATAGATGAGTTATGAGTCAGAATGGTCCAGTCAAAGTCCAGACTAAGTCTAATCTGGAATCTGTGATTGGAAAATTGATGTTCGAGGACGCTCTTCATCCAGTTTGACCACGTTTGAGCTACGTAGCCGGGAAAAATCATCATCCTCTGGTTGACACGGCACTCTGAAATCCTGCTTCATTTTCCAATATATTCTGTTCTGTTGCTGTCGCGCAAAACCCCGTTTATTTAGAAAGATGCAGATTTGTTTAACGTAGTGTGCGCTACGCTTCACTCATTAGCTGTCCTGCAAAGCAGCTGCTCACACCAACCAATCAAAGACTCCAAAGTTTAACCAAAAGTTTCTTCTACCTTTTTCTCTTTTTTCCCTTCTACGTTTGCTAAATCACCACTTTTAAGGAACCAGTTTGTATCTGACTGTAATCCTGCAAACCCCATTTTTATGTGCGCAGCGTGGCATATTGTGATTGGACGAAATGCAAGAGTTACACTTGAATTTTGTGAACTCCTGAAGATGAGAATATTCCATGAAGATGACATTTGGTTGCCTTTGAACAACTTTACAAAAAAAAAAAGTTGGTGTTTGCTCTAAGTCCACTAAGCTTTTTTTCTAAATGAGCGTAACCAGGGATACGAGTTAGGCCTAGGACTTCAACCCAGAAAACATAAACTACTTATGTTGTGTCATGACCTCTAATATGTGACGTAAAAACAAGAAACTTGATCTAAATTGCGAATAGTGCATTGGGCAGGGGACAAAATCCATCCATGCATCTGTCCAATATTTTTCTTTTTTGCACAGGTTTTATCCTGTTCAGTCATCAGGTCACATAAGGAGCAACCTGGACTGTGCGTCCAGCAAAGCTCCACACTGCAAAAACACAAAATCTTACCAAGTATTTTTAGTCTAGTTTCCAGTGCAAATATCTTTGTACACTTGAAATAAAACTGGAAACTTACAAGCAACTTTTCTGCAAGAAATAAGAACTTGATTTGAGTAAATTACACCTGAATATTGATGATATTGATGAAAAGCACTAGGTTTAAGTGAAATAAGAGGAACTGGTAACTTTTTAATCTATTAAGGAATTAGTTACTAAAATCAAGCTCTTCTTGAGAAAAGTTGCTTGTAAGTTTGTCTTGTTTTATTTCACATGTACTAACATATTTGCACCAGAAACTGGGCCAAAAATACTTGGTAAGATTTTGTGTTTTTAGTGACTTTGATAAGCAAACAACCCTCAGGATTCCTTCATGAGATTTTGACAGCTACTTGAAACGAAATCACTCAATTTCTACATTTTAAAATAAGCTTGCTTCTAAATCTCTTGCATTTGATCTGATTAGGGTTTTTTTTTTGTTGTTGTTTTTTTTTTCCTCCTCTGTTTCCCCTTTTGATTTGAGGAACAAAAAGTGAGCCGCAAAGTAAACAAACAGAAATGGCAGCCGCCGTCCGAACGAGCTCACAGCTGAAGCCGGCGCTTCCTTAAACCGCCGTCTTCGATTTCTCAACCCGTCTGAAGAGTTTCAACACCGCCTGACGTCTGTGAATGGAGGCCAGCTGTTTGCCACATATTCAAGGGCAGCTCTTTTTTTGTTTGTTTGTTTGTTTGTTTGTTGGGGTTTTTTTTTGCAGCATGGATGTAAATCTGTTCTGTTTGCTATGGTAGTGGTGCCGCCCGTCGAATTGAAATCGAAGGCTGCCGGTGCGAAAACGTGATCGAACCTTTTAAAACTGATTTAAGATTTGACTGCCACACTGTCAGCTTCTGGAGATGACTTGAATGTTTGTTTGTTTTTGTTTTTTTGCACTAGACTAAAAGCTATAATAGGTGTTTAACTGAAAGTTTGGTTTAAAACTGGCTTTTTTAAGTTTATATTGATTCTTTAGTGTTCGACTTCTTCCCACATATAAATTATGATTTAAAAACAACACTCAGTTGCTCTAAATTAGAGAAGTAAACCTCTGCTGGTGTTGCTCGGTACTCGCATGCCTCTACACAGCAAACACAGCAGGTGCAGTAAGAACGAGCTGCAGAGTTTAAATTCTGTCTTAACACAATATCACAACACCTAAAGTCTTCCAAATAGCATTTGAGTAAACACAGCATCAAGTTTTGCACTAATTGTTTAATTTTAGTGAATAAAGGTGTAAAAACTGTATGGTTTTTTTTTTTGTTGTTTTTTTTTTTTACTTCAACAAGGCAAAAACAATACAAAACTCATTGAAATATAAATTTTGAAATATTTTCTTACCTTTCTGTTGACTTGCTATGGATGTTTGCTTTGAGTGCAGCTTGGACAGCTTCACCGTCCAGCAAACATGCAAAAAAAAAAAAAAAAAAAAAACGACTGAGATGTATTTTGCTTGTATGTATGACTTAGAAAAAAAACAATAAAAAATTGCTGCAAAACTTCAGGGTCTCGACCGGGTTGCACTTGTTGACGGTTCACACATGTTTTAAACGTCACTTTTCACCGTTGCATTGCATTGTTTGCTCTGGCGACGCTACGTCGAAGTCATCCTGTGCATCTGAGAAAACAAAAAAAATTTTGGGAAAAAAAAAAGGGGCTAAAGGAAAAATTTCTCAGCAAATAAAAAAAAAAAAAACTTGAACCCGGTCAGACCTGGTTGACGATTACCCAGCAGCTAGTCAGTGTCTCCCTGCGCACTGGCACTGGCAGCACCGGTTCCGGCTCACTGTTACTGGATCATTATGTAATCGGATGAGGACAGTTTGCACTTTTTCTTCTTGCTTGCGAAGCAGGGAGAGCGAGAGAGCGCGCCCTGTGTGTCCACTCAGGGAGACCTTAAAAAAGCCCGGGCAGTCCACTCCTCCGAGGACCCCTCACACACACACACACACACACACATCGACATCACACCAGGCATACCCCTGCTACATAAGCCCAAAAGCGTTCAGATGGCCACTGTTTTGTGTTTTGTTTTATTGTGTTTTTTTTTTTTTTGCGACATTTTTAATTCATTAATTCAACTCTCCTCCTACCCTCCCTCCCAGCCGCTCTCCCTCACTGTACGCGGTAAATGGGCCTCTTTGTTGGACGAGCCTCCTCCGCTGTTTCAGCCTTTGTCAACTTTCTCGTTGCAAAACGTTTGATGGGTCTAAGATACGAGCCTGGAAGTTGTTGCACTGGAACAAAGATATTTACAACCCCCCCCCCCCCCCCCCCAAAAAAAAATGGGGGGTTATGGGGCCTTTTCTTGTTGTGTGCTTGGCATCTTGCGCCTTTGCGTTGGGACAGAGGGCACTGAATGGGTAATGTGGGCGCATCTCTGTGAGGTGGTGCCATGTCCGCCTGCGAGGAGGGGCGCTCGGTAGTGTAAAAGGCGAGTACAAACGATCCTCCTGTTGATGGAGAAAGGGATGAACGGGGCGGAAAAGAAAAAAAAAAATGACCAAAGTAGCAACAACCTCTCTCAGGCTGTGGATGTCGATGTTGTAGTTAGGGGGGAAAAGTGACTTTATTGGAACGAAAATCTTGTGCGGAGTAAAAGAACATTGTGTACTGCTGCACATTTGACCCCCATCAAGTGATATTTGGCTGATTTTTTTAGCTACATTTGTTCACCAGTGTATTATTGTTGCCGTTTAAGATCTGTGATGAGTTGTAAATTTCTCCTGACTTGACAAACTGGCGCAAGTTTCTCAAGTTTCACAAAACCGATTGTTCCAACTTACAAGTTATAGAGCTGCTGTATTTTTATTATTATTATTTTTTTTTAAGTTGACTACAAATAAAGAAAATCTGCCAACTGTTTGGTAGGTCGATTTTTACTAATTTAGAGATAATAACTGATTGAACTTGTGTAGCTGAACAGTTGCAGTTTAGCTGAAAGGATGAGTTTTCTGCAACCTTTGCATCGGATGAGTAGAGCTGGAACAGTGACTGAACTGGTTAGGTTACTTATTTAAAGACCAAAATTTGAAATGAATTGAAAAATATCAACACATTTTCAAAGATGTTTTATCAAATTTTTAGAAGTGCAAACTGGAGATGGGTGCCACATTTCTGAACAATGGCAGCCCTTACAGGTGTCACTCCTTCTATTTACTCCTTCTACACTTAATCAGTCATTAGGAATCACTAGAGACAGGAACTCTATTGGTAATAAATAATCAGAAATGTTTTTTTTTTTGTTTTTCTATCACATTTTCCCCAGTGATCTGCTTCTGTAAAGAATAACGTGTGACATTTGGTTTGTGATCCACTGCTGGACTCTATCTAATCTATAAAATCTGCAAAAATCAAGTGAAAACATTTGGAAAAGTTGCAAGACCTGCTTTTAGATTAGAGACAAAGCTGTTGAACACACTTCTATTGTTACTGACAAAAGAAACAGATATTCTTGATCACTGAGGGACGAACCAAACCATCATCCTTCTTGACACTTGGCCACCAAAGTGGCTGCAGCTAGCTTTGCTTGCAGGCAAACAGATGCACAACTTTTAAAGTGCATACTGTACTGTGGTTGCTCTCAGTTTCATCCGCAGCAGAAAAGTATGAACTTTAGACAGGTTGGGCACTTGGTGTGATTATTTCCACATGGCACCGCAGCATAAGCATACCCATTTCTTCTTGGTTAAATCAGAGCATGAGAGTTCCCATAGAAGCAATGATATTTCCAGTTACAGACAGTGATTGAACACAAACTGCGGTTGGTCTGTGCTATTTTCAAATTGTGAAAATAGCACAATTTGAGTCGCCCTCATCTCTCATTTGGTTGTGTTTTTAACAAGTATATAAGCAAAAATGACATTTAAACAGCTTCACGTGGATATTAACGTCCTGCACTGGTGTGACAAATTTCTATCATTCAGGGGGAGCCTTGGTTCTAACTGTACCTACATGTCCAACTCAAGGCCCACAGATCCTAGATAATATAGATAATAAAGATAATATACCGGCCCTTTAAGGACATTAATCAAGTATGAGTTTGACACCCCTGTGCTAAAAAGACTGATACTTTTATTAGCAACATTATTCATATGCTGTACAAGAAGCAGCTTTATGCATCTACCAGACAAACCGGAATGAAAGTTCCCACGTGGTGCATGAACCACCATTGACACTCTGCACCAGAAACACTGCGCAATATTTTCCTCCAAAAGGAGAAAGCACCCAGTTTGTGTTTCTACTTGGCGCCTCTGCGAGCGTTGGGGCTCCCCTGGTTAAAACCTCATTCAGGTCATGACGTCTGCTCAAGGTTCGAGAGAGTGGCGACAGACGTCTCTTTGAAGTTACCCTCTTTTTTTTTTTTTTTTTTTTTTTTTTTTTACATTTCAGGGTTTTTATTGGATGATTGAAATCTCAAAAGCTGAACCAAAATATCAATCCCTCCTTGTGGCTCAGTGAGTAACTTTAGCAGCTTTATCAACAGCCTGAGAGCTGATAGCACCTCTGCTTCACTGCACGATGAAACAAAGTTTCACCCTTAAAGTCGCTGAACGCATAATCGAGCACATCACTTTGTAAATTTGATGTTTTGAAACGGTCCACTTCACCACCACAAGTCAGCTAGCAGCGTTGGATCAGTTAGCCGCTATTAGCTTTCGTGGCGAGTAAAATAGGCTCACATGTTTTACATATGGGTTGCGATGTGGAGGCGTGTGCAGTCAACAGGAAGAACCGTCATGAAGGCTTGGAGCTGTTTTGTGGGGAGACTTTCAAGTGTGTTTTCACTCCAGATTTGAACCGTTTAGCAACAGTGCTAATGCTAAAGTTAAATTTGCTAGCAAGTTAAACCGCAAAAGAAAAATGTTGCATTTGAAACATTAGAGGCTTTTTTTTTTGGTTGTGGCACATAATAATATAATCATGAGCAAAAAGTTATATTTTCAAAGAGTTTTGCATTTTTGCAAATAATGTATCAAATGAGCACTTGATGTAATAAGCTATCAAAATTAGTATTTCGCGAAGCTGCAATGGAAACACTGTATTCGCATCACGTGAGTCACACGATCAACAACCAGATGTCTACTGGTGGAAAAGACGAAGAAAACAGCAGGAAGTGGCAGGAGGAAGATGGCGCTGCATGTTTTTTTTTTTTAACGACTTATCACGTGAATAAATTTATTTGCTTTTTTCAACTTTAGCGGAGTATCGACACAAGTTTTGCGCTGAATCGGAAACACAGCTGCTGTGTTGAATGACTGATGAAGAGGATGCTGAGGGTTGCCTGTGATGATCTTTGTTTTTGGAATTAAACTGACTTGAGTTACACTTAATTGAAATATGATTCATGTGGCCTTATGAGGTTTAAAACGTTTTATTGCTTTAGTTACAAACTCGTTCGCATTTTGTGCTTGTTCCCCATTTATTTCACGTAAAATCATCTCAATAAGGGACCAACTTAGTAGAATGAGTACTAATCAGAGATATAAAAAAAAAACGGTCCAAATAAAAACATTGAAATATCGTTTAAAACAAAATATTGAATGTTTATGTATTCTGTTCCCTTTATACATGTTTATTTTTACATCTATGTTAATTTTAACTCAATTTTCTCTTTTGCAAGCAGTTCTTTTAGCATAAATAATCAAGAAAAAGTTTATTTTCTTAACCGTTACCTTGCAAGAAAGAATGAAATCCTAATGCATGAAAAATAACAGCATGCTTCCTGTCAATGAAAAAATAATAATTCTCTTATTTTGCTGAAAGAATGTCACCTTTGACTGAGAATAAGTGACCGCTCTCTGTTTTCTGACCAGAGCTGTAGGATAAACTATGTCACAGATGTCAGCCGTCACTGAACTGAAGTGACCAGAGGAGGAGGAAGACGAGGAGGAGGAGGAGGAGGAGGAGGAAGGAGGGGGAAAAGGAAAGTTTCACACATTAAAAGAAGAGATCGAAAAAAGAAAGAACGGGGGAAAGTAAAGAGTCAGGAAGAGGGCGAACGAACAACAAAAGGGAAGGCTGGGAGGAAGGAAAAAACCAGTCAGCTCATGACTACTCAGAAGACTCTATCCTCCTCCTTCCTCCTTTTTCCACCCCTCTCTTTGTCGTCTTGATGCACATGCTTCCTTCTGCTTGGTTTTTTTAAATGAGCCCATGATGGCGTCGGGTCTAAAATGTTCAAACAGAGACGAGTGTAGAAAATGAGGAACTGAAAGACGACAGCGTTACAGTTACACTCAAGTGTAAGTGTATATATATATATATATATATATATATATATATATATAAATATACTAAAGGATGAAATGATATTTGAATATTGTTTAAGTCCCAGCAGTGATCACCATCCAATAAATATATTTAAACTTCATGTTCATATGATCATCGCTGATCAAACTTATATACAGGCGAACAGGCCTCAGGGGTTTGGGTTAGCTTTATCTGATTAGGGTTTGGGTTAGCTTTAGCTGATTAGGGTTAGGGTTAGCTTTAGCTGATTAGGGTTAGGGTTAGCTTTATCTATCCAAGCTTTATCTGAAAGCTTGGAAATACCATCACTGCGAACAGGTGGGAATAAAAGTGCACAAAGGTTTGCCTGAACATTTTCTTACAAACACATAACATTGTTATCTTATGATACAGTAAAGATTGTCAAGCAAGAAATGCTCAAGCGCATACAAAATGATCGGCTTAGTTTTTTTCAAACACTTATTTCATACTTGATTTCTAGACATTTAAGCATTAATTGAAATATTTGATCTTAAATGGAAGCTGAGAAATTTCACGTTTTGCATATTTCATACATATCAAGTTCCCCCTTTTGGATTCATTTTGCCAAACTGAATTGTGTTTAGAATCTCACAAACACCAAAACATATCTTAAAAGATCTAAAGAGTAAATGTTTACTTCAGAGTTCGTCTTCTTGCTACGGTTAGGCGTATTCCCCATCTATCAGTTTAGTTTTGAAATTTGGCTTGTGCCGTCCAAAATTCACGTTGCTTATTGTAACGGAGAGGCTGTTCATGATTCCAACAATTTCTGAGAATAATCGGACACCGCATGACGATCACTTTACAATTCCCTGACACTTCCTGGTATGTTGTGTATGTAGATGCATGACTTTATGTGTGATACTGTAACATGTTCAAAATTATCTACAGGTGAGCCAGGATTCCACAGACTTCTTTTCTTTTGGTCAATAAAACTCAAAGAACCTAATCCCAACCTTGCCATATGTCCTCCACACAACATTTGGCAGCAGCATGAGTTTCTTTTTCCTGTTGACTTGTCTTGCACCTGTTTTGCAAATAGTTTCGATTTCTCTT